GTTCACTGCAGCTGATTGGGAATAACAACATTGCCAGATAAACCCCAGATTCCATGGCAAAGATGAAAAAGAATGAGTTACATCCCAAAGTGAAAACAAAAATGATCTCCCAGATATAAAGAGTGCCAATGGGTGCTTAATAGATGTCAATCCTGTTATATTGAGATTGGCACTAGGGAGAAGTTAGAGGATATCAAGACTGATTTAGAGATGGAGTGAGCTAGAATACGTAGAGAGGATAAAGATAGAAATTAAGATAGAATTAGAGATTAGGGATAGAGATAGAGGTAGGAAGAGGTAGAGGTAGGTCACATAGATAGAGACAGAGATAGAGATAGGGACAGATAGAGAGGTAGAGTTAGAGGTAGAGATAGACAAGCAAGCTGCTTTAGATAAATGCTTGTGTTCCCACAAAATGCATATGTTAAAATCCTAGCCAGTAAGGTAATAGTAGTAGGGGGAGGGGCCTTGGGGAGATGACCAATCATGAGGGTGGAGCCCTTATAAAAAGAAGTCCTCAGAGAGCTCCCTCACCCCTTCCTCCATGTGAGGACACAATGGGAAGACATCCAGCTTTGAACCAGGAAGTGGGCCCTCACCAGACACCCAATCTTTTGGTGCCAAGGTCTCGGACTTCCTGGCCCCCAAATTGTGAAAAATAAATGTGTGGGTTTTTTTTCAAGCCACCCATTTATAATACATCAGCCTGAACTAAGACACAGGCATATACTTTCATTTGCATAAAACACTCTAGAGGAAAATATTAGGGATTGGTACCTGCACTTTCCAGCAGGGAGACTAAGAACTGGGCTTGAGGGCATTAGGGAATTTTCATTTCCATTGTAGACCTGTTCTAATGTGTGGCTTTTTCACCACTAACCTGAATCAATGCAGTAATAATACTAAAAATAATGGCTAATTAACAAAAAGGAATGCATTGAGAAGCTTTCCCCACACTTAGCTACATAATTGACTTGCAGAACAGAGCCAATGTGTAAGGGATTAAGAACAGGAGGTCATCACCGACCAATGTCTTATCTTCTTAGGGGTATTAATGATGTCTGGAGACACAACACTCAGTGAAAGCAGCTGAGGATTAAGAAGAAGTTGGTTCCTTAAACAGCTCTTCTCTCTGTCAATAGAGCCCAGAGCTCCGGGGAACAAGCTCTGGGACCCACATTCTTTCTCCCCTCAGATCCCAGAGCTGGTGGGAGACTTTCAAACAGACTGCAGAGGCGTTAAAAATAGAAGTTAAGTTGCTATTGGAGATACGCGGAGAATTCACCACTTGCAAATCTCTAATTATAATATGTCAAAAGTGAAATACCTTGTCAGGAGCAGTATCTAATAGAATGCAGGATTGGCTCTGTCAGCACAGTGATCCATGATGTGTTGGGAGGCCCTGCATTAAATAGACATTCGGCAGGAAAATGTCCTGCAGGGACTCATCTCAGCCCTCGGAGGACTGAAAGGATGGCCGGGGAAGTCTTTGCTGTCTGTACTTTCCTCCGCTCTGGCTGGGAGCGCTGGGTGCAGCCTGCTTCCCTTCTACCGTCTGTACTTTATGTTAAATCATGTGCATACATTAGAAGTTCTTGGAGACTAGCAGATGGATGGATCGTTTCTCTCACCCGAAGCGACTCGGTTTCTCAAAGAAATGATGGCCTCCACAGTGCTGTGAGACTGGCATTAAGCACCAGGCCTCTGTGTCAGAGAACAGTTAGCATTATGGCAGGTACAACACTAACCAATGGGGAAGAACTTAGGAGTGCTAATACCGGGCTGGGACAACCATGGGTCTGACCCACTTTGAGGCTCAATTCCATCCCCGGGAAATGCAGAGCCTGGAGGGAAGAGAAGGAGCGCTCGGAAACAATGTGCAGATGCAGAGACAATGGGAAGCAAGCTTCTCATCAACCGTGTTCTGCACAGTCGGGCCGGAAAAGTCCAACTCAGAAGTAGGTCACAGACAGAGAAAGCATCTTCCTTTTTGGTCAAAGGAGAGAAGCCCATAGGCATGTAATCGTTTGCAGCAGAAAACTGGATGGTCCCTTCTCTGGGCCGTCAGGATCAGCCACGAAGCCACCTGCCTCCACTGATGATGGTTCTCTTTCCTTTAAAACTTCCCGTGAGAGTATGTACCACACAAACATTGCGAAAGGAGGCAAAGTAACCAGCCCCTCCACAAATCCACACACTCCATACTCGGAGAGGTGCTCCTTGCCTTTCAAATACTCTAGATACCATCGTTGGAGCCAATTTCAGAAATGACGCTGTTGTTTCCATGCTCTAGGACTTGTCACATTGCAAGGATAACAGAACACACGCCCTATTAAGGGCAGAGCACAGGCCTGCTTACCCGTGCCTCTCCCTGCAGGGCTGGGCTCTGTGGACCGTCCGCATGCTATTTAACTTTAATCGTGTTGATCTCTAAAGAATGCTTTTTGTGAGAGAAGGACGTTGAGCATGTCAACTCCCCAGCTGGATTAAAGTTTCCTTTTAGGTAGGCATAATTAACCCTTTCTTTCAAACTCTCATTTTATAAGTCCTCCTGCTCAAACTCTTTTCAATGACTTCCCATTACTCCTAATGTGGAATTCCACCCCTTATCGAACCCAGCAGGCCTGTGGGGTATGATACCTACTGATTCCTTCCATTTAGTCCATTGTCACTCTACCCCCAAACCCTCTCCACATGCCCTAGATACACTGGCCTCTTTTGTTCTTTGAATGAGTCAAGGTCAGGATGACTGACCTTGTCATTCTTTCTGCCTGAAAAGCTTTGTCTTCTCACCTTAAATATCATCTCCTTCAAGAAAGGTTCCCAGACTACTCATTTGCAAGCCGTGCCTCTGCTCTTTTTTTATCTTCCCATAGCATCTGTCTTTTTCTTAAGAGCATGGATCATCATTTGTGTTTATATAGCTGCTTGGTCGCCACATGTTCACTCTGCCTCTCACACTAAGTTTCAAAAAGGAAAAGGGCTGTTTCTGTTTGATTCAACCACATCACCTACTATGAGTCCAGGTCCCAGTAGATGTTTAATAAATATTTGTGAATGAATGAATGAATGAATGAATGAGTGAATGACGGACTGAATGAATCTTCCAGATCAGTAATATAGTTAGCATATGTTGAGGCTTAATAAATAATGTCTGATTTAACCTCTTTTTTCAGTCCTAAAATAGCCTCCTGAAGCCCTACCACCCTGATTATCACAAAATAAGCACCAAGCAAATAAACAACAACTCTATCATTATCATCTGGTTGTCAACAACACAAATACCTGAGAAATCAGCAAACACACTTAATAGACTCACCCCTAACTTGTAGCACAGCCATATACAAAAAGGCACTAGTGGCACTATTCACAAGAGCCAAAGGTCGAAACAACCCAAGTGCCCATCAATGAATGAATGGATAAACAAATGGCTTCTCTGTATAATGGAATCGTATTCAGTCATGAAAAGGAAGTTCTGTACATTTTACAATATGGTGAACCTTGAAAACATCTTAATATTGGAAAGGAGACAGACACATAATTTAATTTCTATGAAAAATCCCCAATAGCAAATCCATATAGACAGACAGCAGATTAGTGGTTGCCAGGAGTTGGTGGAAGGCAGGATGGAGATTGTCTGCTTAATGGGCATAGAGTTTCCTTTGGGTGATGAAAATCTTGAACTGGATAATGGTGATGGTTTCACTGCACTGTGAATGTACGGAATGCCACGGAACTGCTTGCATTAAAATGGTTAAAATGGTAACTTTTATGTTTTGCACAACAATAAAGAGTTGAAAAGGCAATAGAAAAGTTTAGAATGTGTATTATTTTTTAAATTCTCCAAGTCTCACCTCCAAGTATTAGGTGTCAAAGGCACCAGGTATCAAAGTTAGTTACTGGTTGCTTTTATTTATAAGAAATATATCACGCTTTAAAACAATAAACTTCTTCACCAACACTGGTTTCCCACTGGGGCAGGAGAAAGAGGCACGTCTGCCTTGCACTTACAAAAGGCTCTAGACTTGAGGCTGGGTGAGCCCAAGCTTCCAGAGAATTCTGCAGAACAAGGTTCCACAAATGCACATGTACATCAGGTGTGCATGATTACCTTAGGTCGCTCACAAACACAGTTTCATTTCGATAGTTATTTTTTTAGGATTATCTTGATTCATAGCTAATAACATTCGTGTTCAATGATGATAGTATTATAATGTTTCCTCTTTATTTGTTTGCTTGCTTGTTTTTAACCCATTTACCCCATTCACCTGCAATGAAATTGACTCTTTTGGGTACATAGAGTCACATAACCACCACCATCAACGTACAGAATGGTTTCACTGCCCTGCAAGATTCTCTTCTGCTGCCTCTTTGCTGCCCAGGCCTGCACACCCCAGGGCCCAGCAACAACATGGAAGAAACAGGGACCCGCATGAAGACTAGGATGAATCTCTAACCTAACGCATTAGGCTAAGTTGGGGAGGGCTGGTGCAGAGACAGCTGCGTGGCTGCTAATGGCCACAAGATTTGTGTTTGGGGCGATGGAAATATTCCAATAGAGTAGACTGTGCTGACGGTTGCAGGACCCTGTAAATACGCAAAAAGCCTGAATTGTCCAGCTAACACTGGTGTGTTTTATGGTATGTAAATTACATCTCCGTAAAGCCATTTAAAAGAAGGCTACATAGTGTATGATTCCACGGAGATGACATTGTTCCAGAAAAGGCAGAACTATAGGAACAAAGAGTAGGTCAAAGTTTCCTTTTACAAACAAATCGCCGTCAACCAAAAATGTGCCCATTTCAGCAAGTAACAGGAGAGGATGCCTGGAGATCAGGCATCTTGGCAGAACTGGGGTGACAAGGACAGGGTTAGGGGCTGCTTTATGGGCAGGACGCTTGGATGGGGGTGCACCCCGCTGTCACTAGGGAACCCTGGGAGCCCTGCCTGACCCCCTCCCACCTCCACCGGTGCCCGAGGCGAGCCTGGAGCCCACTTACTGTGGCGGTGCCCGAGACGGTCTGCGCGCTGGTGTCCGCGGCGCTCTGCTCCGAGTGGGACTGCGCGGGAGGGTACAGGTTTAGCGTGTGCTCGGGGACGGTGGTCTGGCCGGG